GAGGAGGAGGAGGAGGAGGAGGAGGAGGAGGAGTGGGGGGATGCGAAAAGAGGAGAGGGAAGAGGAGGATGAGGATGAGGAGGAGGGAGATGGGGAGGAGGAGAAGGAGGAGCGGAGGAGGAGGAGGGATGGGATGACGATTATGGTGATGATTATGATGGTGTTTCTGATGATGATGATGATGATGATGATGATGATGATGATGATGATGATGCTGCTGAAACTGATGCTGATGCTGATGCTGATGCTGATGCTGATGATGATGATGATGATGATGATCATGGTGATGAGGATGCGGCTGCTGGTGATGAGTCTGATGATGATGAGGATGCTGACGATGCTGCTGATGATGATGCTGCTGTTTATGATGACGATGCTGATGCTGATGTTGGTGCTGACTATGTCGATGGCGACGACGATGATGACGATACTGATGATCATGATGATGATACTGATGATACTGATGAGGATGCTGATGATGATGATGATGGTGGTGGTGATGATGGTGACGGTGATGGATATGGCAATGGTGATGGTGATGGTAGTGATGATGATGACGATAACGATGATGAGGCTGATGATGCTGATGTCGATGCATATTATGTGTACGATGAGGTTTATACGTTTGACGGTGATGCTGTTGATGCTCATGATTATGATGATGTTAATGTTGATGATGATGGCCATGATGATAATCATACTCTCGATGCTGCTACGTATGATGCTGGTGTTGGAGATGATGATGGCGAGGAGGATGGTGATACTGCTCATGCTGAGGATGATGCTGCTGGTAATGATGCTGATGATGCTGATGATGATGATGATTGGGATGATGATGGTGATGACGATGATTGTGATGATGCCGATGAGGATAATGATGATGACGATGATGATGATCCCGATGATGCTGATGATGCTGATGGAGGTGGTGGGGATGATGATGAAGATAATCAAGCCGATGCGGATGATGATGTTACTGATGATGATGCTGATGATGCTGATGATCATGATGATGCTGATGATGATACTGATTCCGATGATGATACTGATGATGCTGATGATGATACTGATGATGACGATGCTTACTATGATGATGCTGCTGCTGATGATGATCATGATGATAATGACGATGATGATGCTGATGCTGATGATGATGATGCTGATGATGATGCTGCTGATGATGCTGCTAATGATGATGATACGGATGATGATGCTGATTTTGATGATGATGATGATGATGATGATGATGATGATGGCGGGGATAATGGTAATGATAATGATGATGATGCTGATCATGATTATTATTATTAACATCATTATTATGATGAGGCTGAGGATGATGATGAGCATGAGGATGAGGATGCTGATGATGATGATGATGCTGATGCTGCTGATGGTTATACAGTAAGAATAATGGTGATGATGATGATGCTGATGATGATGATGATGATGATGATGAGTATGATGATGATGATGATGATGATGATGATGATGATGATGATGATGATGATGATGATGATGGTGGTGGTGGTGGTGGTGGTGGTGGTGGTGGGGGAGGAGGGGAAAGGAGTTCTTTGAGGAGGAGGAGGACGAAGAGGAGGAGGAGGAGGAGGAGGATGGCGGGGAGATAGGGGGGGAGGGAGGAGGGGAAGCAGGAGCCGAGGAGAAGAGGAGGAGGGGGATGACATCCAAGCGGCGCCGGTGTCTTTCACTCGAAGATTGTTCTCTTGACGATGTTGGTTGGTATAGGGTCCAGTTGGCTCTTGAAGGGCTCCATCCCCTCCCCGTGCGTCTCGACTCCACATGACTGGCAAGACACCGACTAAGAAGCACTCTGGGTCCAGGGAGGGAGCTGGGCTTGCCGTGGCCAGAACAGCCCCGTCGTTCATTCTTGGGCGCTCCTGCATGGTATCACGATGGCTGTAGCGTTTGCCCCCTCCCCCTCCCCCTCCTCCTCATTCCCTCCCCCCCCCCCCCATTCCTCTCCTTTACCTCGGTCTTCCTCCTCCTCCTTTTCTTCTCCTCTCCTTCCTCCCTCCTCCTTTCTTCTTCCTCCTTCCTCCTCCTCCTCCTCTTCTTCTTCCTCCTCCTCCTTCTTTCCTCCTCCTCCTCCTCCTTCCCCTCTCCTACTCCTCCTCCTCTTCCTCCTCCTCCTCCTCTCTCCTCCTCTTCCTCCTTACTCTCCCGGCCTCTCCTCCTCCTCCTCCTCCTCTCCTCCTCCTCTCTTCTCTCCTTTCCTCCTCCTCTCCTCCCTCTCCTCCTCCTCCTTCCTCCTCCTCCTCCTCCTCCTCTCCTTCCTCCTCCTCCTCACTCCATCTCTTCCTCCATCTCTTCTATCCTCCCTCCTCCTCTCCCTCTCCTCCCTCTCTCCTCCTCCTCTCTCTCCTCCTCCTCCTCCTCCTCCTCCTGAGCTGGCCCCCTCCCCCCCCGAGCCGGCCCTCCCTCGGAGCCTCTCTCCCCGCGGCAGACGGGGCGGCGGCCCGGCGCAGTTCCTTTGGGCTGCAGCCGGCGGGGATGGCAACCACGCAGCTGACGAACGCCCAGGCTCGAGGGTCAGCGGCAACGACAGGGGGCACCACTGAGGAGGAGGGGGAGGAGGTGGAGGAGGAGGAGGAGGAGGAGGAGGAGGAGGAGGAGCAGCAGGAGGAGGAGGAGGAGGAGGAGGAGGAGGAGGAGGATGAGGTGGGGCACCAGGGCACCACTGAGGAGGAGGAGGTGGAGGAGGAGGAGGTGGAGGAGGAGGAGGAGGAGGAGGAGGGTCACTGGCAACGTCAGGGGGCACCACAGGTTCGAGGCTCGAGGCTTTCCAGTGTTCTCGTCGGTTCTCGGCGGCTTTCCAGCCTGGGGCTATGTCGGGCATGTCCCTCTACAGGAGGAATATCCAAAAATCGTTTTCAAAATAGCCGGGACGATTTTCCCGATTTTTTGTTCTTAAAGCCATTTTTGAAACTTATTCGGATATCTTTCATTTCTCCTCCCAAATCCGCCTGTAGGAGGACATGCCCGACCTAAGCCTCGGGGTGCCTCCCAGCGGCTGCGCCTCGCCGACGGCGTTCTAGGGGTGCCCGGATCGCCCCGAGCGTCCGCCAGAGAGCCGAGCTACGGCCCGAAAACCAGCAAGCAGCGACAAGGGGGGATAGTTTGAGCAGGACGAAAGATTTTCTCTTGAGTTGCGAGTGGCGATGACGAGGGGGAAATTAATGACCGAACCCCCCTCCCCCGTAGAAACTTAACACGGGCGGGTTCTGGGGTCCGCGGATCCTATTCTTTCGGGTTTCCCGTTTTTTATATAAAAAAAAGATGTAAATTAAAACGGGGTAGAAATCAGATCCGCCGTGAAAAATAAGACCGAACACGGATCCCGCAATTCCGAAATCGGATCCGCGCGGACGGAAACCGGACCCACCGAAGCAAACGCCAAAGCCACACGTGGATCCGCGCGAGTTTCACGGCATCTGACGGCGAAAATATCCCATGCGCGCTTGCTCAAGGCTTCAAGCCGTCGTTGTGGGCCCGAGAGGAACCAATTTTCGCCCTTGATCAGGTGGACCTAGGATGAGGATTACGAGCCCCAGAGCATTCCAATGCGCTCCAGAACGCTCGCAGAGCGTTCTGGAGCGCTCTGGAACGGTGGCGCCACCCAAAACACCAGCCAGGCTCGCCAGCTTTCAGAGACCCCAGGCGACCTCAGGTTTATCCACGCCTCAGGGGGTGATGCACCGACCCCCGATCTCCCACTGATCGCCGACAGGGGGCCCGACGGCCCACCCCGCCCAGCACCGTGCGGCTGTGCCATCGGGGGCCCGTCGCCGACGTGTCGGCGAGATGCATCGCCGGAGCCAGGCCGGTGCTTTTCCCCTCCCTGCGCTGGCCCCCCCCCCCCCCTGCAGTGCCGTTTTTGATACATGCTCCGCGTGCGGATCATGTGTGGAACATGCAGAGATGTAGTATTGAAAACAACGATGGGTTCGTGCATCGATTTATTCATAAATCAATCATGCACTAAAATCCGAAAATTTTAAAATCCTATGTGTTAAAAATCGCCCTGTGCTGTGAACGGAAGGGAAGGGCCGAGGTACCTAAGCGACCGAAGGGGATCCGTAGGCAGAGGGCGGGGCAGAAATCCTAAACGTCCAAGCGACAACACAGGGTTTGGTGACCCCTGCCGTCGCACACCCTGTGATTTTACAGGGATCGCTGCTCCCTCAAATCAGTCTCTGTCTTTCTTTCTCTCTCTCGCTCTCTGACTCTCCCTGCGTGTGTGTCTCTCTCAATCTCTCACACTTTTTTCTCCGTCCGCTTAAAAGAGGAGGACGACGAGGAGGAGGAAGAGGAGGATGACAATGACAAGGAGTTGGAGGAGGAGGCTGAGGAGAGAAAGAGGAAGAGATACAGAGATAGGCAGGTAGAGGAAGAAAGAAACGGAGAGAGAGACAGAGAGAGAAAGAGCGAGTGAGCCGTTCAACGACCGATGCAACATGAGTGTGTGTATATATATATATATCTGTATACATTTGTGGACGTGGACCTGTGTATGTCTTTATATATATATATATAGATGTATATATATATATATATATATATGGTAGCCCCCCCCCCACATGATCATACATATTTCTTTTTTTGCTACTCCTCTTCCTCGCGCGCCCTGGGGGGGGAGGGCCTGGGGCTTCCTGGGGCTTCCTGAGGCCTCCTGGCCTTCCCGAGTCTTCCGAAACGCTTCCTGGGGCTTCCCGAAGCCTCCTGGGGCTGCCGAAACACTGCCCTGGTGAAAAACGCTGTGTTTTCCTGATATTCCTGACCTTCCCAGGGATTACCCCTGAGAAAACGCTGTGTTTTCCTGATATTCCTGATATTCCTGACCTTTCCAGAGACTACCCAGGCGCCGAGGCCTCCTGGGGCTGCCGAAACATTGCCCTGGTGAAAAACGCTGCGTTTTCCTGATATTCCTGACCTTCCCAGGGATTACCCTTGAGAAAACGTTGCGTTTTCCTGATATTCCTGATATTCCTGACATTTCCAGAGACTACCCAGGCGCCGAGGCCTCCTGGGGCTGCCGAAACATTGCCCTGGTGGAAAACGCGGTGTTTTCCTGATATTCCTGACCTTCCCAGGGATTACCCCTGAGAAAACGCTGCGTTTTCCTGATATTTCTGATATTCCTGACATTTCTAGAGACTACCCTGGGGGGGGAGGGCCTGAGGCTTCCTGGGGCTTCCTGGGGCCTCCTGGCCTTCCCGAGTCTTCCGAAACGCTTCCTGGGGTTTCCCGAAGCCTCCTGGGGCTGCCGAAACATTGCCCTGGTGAAAAACGCTGCGTTTTCCTGATATTCCTGACCTTCCCAGGGATTACCCTTGAGAAAACGCTGTGTTTTCCTGATATTCCTGATATTCCTGACATTTCCAGAGACTACCCAGGCGCCGAGGCCTCCTGGGGCTGCCGAAACATTGCCCTGGTGGAAAACGCTGTGCTTTCCTGATATTCCTGGGTAGTCTCTGGAGATGTCAGGAATATCAGGAATAGCAGGAAAACGCAGCGTTTTCTCAGGGGTAATCCCTGGGAAGGTCAGGAATATCAGGAAAACACAGCGTTTTTCACCAGGGCCATCTCTGGGAAGATCTTGGAAATCTGGAATATCTGGTAAACGGTATTTTTTCAAGAGCAGGAGGATGATAATCAAATCGTGTAGCTTCAACAGGGCAGCGTTGGCCGTCGGCTGCCCCCCGTCAGTTGTGAACGCAGCTCCCCAATCAGTTCTGCGAGCAGCCTCCTGCTACGAAACATTACTCGCAAAACTAGCTGTGAACGCCGCTCCACACCTAGTTTTGTGAGTGATGTCTTCCTCCTCACCCTCGTCATGCTCCTCGCCCTCCTCTTTTTCCTCCTCCTACTCCTCCTGCTCCTCCCCATCCTTCCTCCTCCTTCTTTTCTTCACTCAACCCCACCTCTCCGCTTCATGGCGTCACTCACAAATCTAGTTGCGAACGCAGCTCCGCAACCAGTTTTGCGAGCAGCCTCTTGATAAGAGACATTACTCGCAAATCTAAATGTGAACGCCGCTCCACACCTAGTTTTGTGAGTAAGGTGTTGCTCCTCACCTTCGTCATGCTCCTCACCCTCCTCTTCTTCCTCCTCCTACTCCTCCTGCTCCTCCCCATCCTTCCTCCTCCTTCTTTTCTTCACTCAACCCCACCTCTCCGCTTCATGGCGTCACTCGCAAATCTAGTTGCGAACGCAGCTCCGCAACCAGTTTTGCGAGCAGCCTCTTGATAAGAGACATTACTCGCAAAACTAAATGTGAACGCCGCTCCACACCTAGTTTTGTGAGTAAGGTGTTGCTCCTCACCTTCGTCATGCTCCTCACCCTCCTCTTCTTCCTCCTCAAAACTCCTCCTGCTCCTCCCCCCTCCTCCTTTCGCTTTCTTCACTTTACCCCCGCCTCCCCGCTTCGTGGCGTCACTCGCAAATCTAGTTGTGAACGCAGTCCCCAAAGTTCTGCGAGCAGCCTCCTGCTACGGAACATTACTCGCACAAAACTAGCTGTGACACGCCGCTCCACACCTAGTTTTGTGAGTAAGGTGTTGCTCCTCACCTTCGTCATGCTCTTCACCCTCCTCTTCTTCCTCCTCCTACTCCTGCTGCTCCTCCCCCCTCCTCCTTCTTTTCTTCACTTTACCCCCGCCTTTCGCTTCGTGGCGTCACTCACAAATCTAGTTGTGAACGCAGCTCCCCAATCAGTTCTGCGAGCAGCCCCCCTGCTACGAAACATTACTTGCAAAACTAGCTGTGAACGCCGCTCCACACCTAGTTTTGTGAGTGATGTCTTCCTCCTCACCCTCGTCATGTTCCTCGCCCTCCTCTTCTTCCTCCTCCTACTCCTCCTGCTCCTCCCCATCCTTCCTCCTCCTTCTTTTCTTCACTCAACCCCACCTCTCCGCTTCATGGCGTCACTCACAAATCTAGTTGCGAACGCAGCTCCGCAACCAGTTTTGCGAGCAGCCTCCTGATAAGAGACATTACTCGCAAAACTAAATGTGAACGCCGCTCCACACCTAGTTTTGTGAGTAAGGTGTTGCTCCTCACCTTCGTCATGCTCCTCACCCTCCTCTTCTTCCTCCTCAAACTCCTCCTGCTCCTCCCCCCTTCCTCCTCCTTCGTTTCTTCACTCTACCCCCGCCTCCCGCTTCGTGGCGTCACTCGCAAATCTAGTTGTGAACGCAGCTCCACAACCAGTTTTGTGAGCAGCCTCCTGCTACGAAACATTACTCGCAAAACTAGCTGGGGACGCCGCTCCACACATAGTTTTGTGAGTAAGGTGTTGCTCCTCACCTTCGTCATGCTCCTCACCCTCCTCTTCTTCCTCCTCCTACTCCTCCTGCTGCTACGGCTCCTGATCACTCAGCCCCCTCCTCTCCACTTCGAGGCGTTACCCTCCAATCTAATTGCGAATGCAACTCCACAACAAACCGTGCGAGCAACCTTCCGCTACAAATCATTATTCACAAAACTTGTTGTGAACGCCGCTCCACAGCTAGGAAGAGGCG